TTGGTGAAACCCAGGCATGAAGGTCTGTTTTGTGAGTCTAAAGTCAGTGTTTCTGGACGGTTTCTCCGCTCGCAGTCGGGGTCCCAAGGATCCCAGGCAGCCGGCAGAGGCATCGTCATCTTAGACGTGCCCTGACCGTTACTGGCTGCCGTATCTATGGTGACTGAGAGCTCCGAGCCAGCACACCCCAAGCAGAACATTCTGCAGCCTGATGACATCACAATGTGAACAAAGCAGCTCGACCTGGACATCCTGCGGACATTCCGGACAGGAGAGCACCTCCCCCAGGGGGAACTTCGGAGAACGCCAAATCCCACAGCATCCTTAGCTCTTCATCTTTTTATTGACGTGAGGGGCTGAATTTGTTGTTCACCCACGGTTTAACTCGTCTCCAGAGTCAAGTGGGCATCCGGTGTTAGTTAAAAGATCTTCAAAGCCTGCAGGAACTCTGGACCTCCAGGAACGGAGCCGGATGGCGACACCGACATCACATGACGGTCACATGACCCCCCGCAATGAAGCCATACCAGGAGGTCCCCAAGCCTGATGACACATCAGGGGGAAGACTGGGAGAAACAAACCTGCCTTTGCTAATTACAGCCTACAGTTGTGGCTGTCTGACAAAAGGAAGGGAAGAGGGGGCGTCAAGAAGAGGGTCTTTCAACTCAAGACACTCGAACATCAAAAACCATAGGAGCAAAAAGACTAAGCAGTCAAGTGTCTTTGACTGAACAGGCGAATTTCACCAGGTAACACCTTCTCTCACGCACGCACGTACGCACGCACGCACACACACAGACAGACACACACACACACCTCTTTGCCTGGACACCACTGTTGTCACACGCACTTTAACCTGCATTCCTTAACAACAGGCTCCCTCTTAGGAGACATTTAACTAGGACCCAGTGGACATGAGCATTCATCTACGACACGCGAGCAGGTCAAGGCTGACCAATCATGAAGAAGCACAGCTTCAGAGGCTGAAACGGATACATTGATGGGACTGGCGGGCAGTTTTTGACCCCTTGTGCGATGTTGCACAAGGGGTCAAAAACTGCCCGCCAGTCCCATCAATGTATCCGTTTCAGCCTCCGTAATTTTATCCCGTCCAGGATCAGAGTAGGCACTGATGTTAGGGCCTACTCTGATCCTGGACGGGATAAAATTACGGAGAGAAAATCAGAAATGATCATTTTGGGGGAGGCTGCCCCCATTTAGGCTGTGGCTGAGGTCAGACACATGCGTTTTTCAACACTGAGGAGAAGGCGCCTGATTCTGCTCGTCTTCAGGGATCCTTTTGGCCCTTCCCAAAAAACACAGTTCCTGGTGTCCCTGGAAGGAGGAGGAACACACTGAAGGAGGCGAGAGAGAGAGAGAGAGCGCGAGAGGAGTGACAATCCATACAAAAGTCAGATACACGACTCCAGAACCCTGATGGTCCACTAGCAAAAATCTGTCTTAAATTAAAAAGGCTTCTGCTGCTTGAAAAGTAGGAGAGGAAGGGGGGAGAGAAGGAGAGAGAAAAGGGGAGAGAGAGAAAGAGAGAGAGCAAGACAGAATGAAAAACTGAGAAGTCTAATGGCTCTGAAGTTCACACAGAATGCACGTTTACAGTTTGGCATTGCAGTTAAGAGCGTGTATCACATAAAGCCAGCAAACCTAGCAGCCGCCCAAAACAACCCCCCCCCCTCCCCCGCACTCCAAACATGCACCTCTTCCATCACAACTGGGCTACAAAAGAAAGCTGCATTGACAGAATCAATTCCTCAGTCCAGCTTTTCCTTCACCCCCGGACAGAACAAACCCCCCCCCCCCCCACCCCGGGAAGAAAGAAACACGAAACCAAGACAGTTAGGTCCACTTTCAGGAAACGAAAGCACGGCCCAGCTGCCTGACGGAGCCCCTTGAAGGCAGAGCAGAGATTTGCGCGGGGCGGCAGAGAGGGAGAGCGAGCAGGCAATCGCTCGGGTCGCCCCAGAGGGCTATGCTGGGAGCTCAGCGCTGGGAGCTCAGCGCTGGGTCTGTGCGTCTCGCCAGTGGGGCCACATCCACCCACATCGCGGAGCCATGAAAGCGGCAACTAGGGCGTCAGCACATTATCTCCCATCTAAACTATTTAACCATTTAGGAAAACTGTCACAAGAAAACCTAAACCGTAAACGTGACGAGACAGTTCTCATGCACCACACTTGTACGCATTAAAACTTTTCACAACTAGTAAAATTTATGGTTCCGATTTTCAGGGGTGGAGGTGAAAAGAAAAGAAAAGACAAAGTCTGCACAGAATTCCACTCACAATCCCAGACAAAATGTCAGCTTCAGTATTTTTTGAACAGCATTACAGTAAAGAGGGAACTCACGGAAGAAATGCTTAAAGAGGTTTGCCATATCCATTCTCAGCTCCCCTGCCGCCGGAACGTTCCGCTCTTGCCACTGCAGTCACGGAGCTATTCCATGAGAACTTCCTGAAACTCCAAGGCTATTAGCCCAGCGGCTCCCCACCCTGCCCATGTGACTGGCGTCGGCCAATCACGACGCTGCGGGGCCTCCACTGAAACTCGACAGCTGCTGGACAGCCCTCCCGTGCTCGAGGCCCCCGGGAGGAAACTCGTCAGACCAGGCTCACGGGCTGCTGCCACGGAAACGGCGCTTTCATCACCTCCTAGGCATTATGGTAAAGACGGGGTGTCCGCCTCAGTGTTTTTTTTTTTCGACTATCACACTCAAAGAGGAGAGTGAGTCAGGTTGTTGCTCACAGAGTCTCCTGAGAGTGACTGGCCTGTTTACTGGTTACATCACTTAAACATTTCTGGCCCGGCCTGACAGTTAAAATACCCCTTTTCAATGTTTTCCTACCTACATACCTACAAAAGTCTCGATCTCTTCAATATACTATTTTCATTACTCCAGACAAAGCTGAAATTAAACATACTCCAAGAAACCTGGTCAAGCTCCCCATTTTTGCCCCCGGGGAATCATTCCGTGCTCTTTTATTTTAAGAACGTCCATCCCGGTTTTGTGGAGTCTGCCGACAAAGACTGTAAATGAAGTACAGACCCCCAAAAGCACCACACACAGGCCCCCGTAACAGAGAGAGGGGGGGGGGCTTGAATGAACACATGTGTTATTCATCTGGCCAGATCGGGCCGCGCACGGCGCCGCACACTCAGGAAGTGGCCTCCTTTCGGGGACCGTCAAGCTGCTTGCGATCTGGCGCCAGAACGCGCCATACTTTAGGAGACGTTTACAACTTTTCTTGAAAAAAAAAATAACCGACACCCCCCCACCCCACCCAAAAAGCTGCATTTCACACCTTTGCAAACATCTGATCACCTTTGGGTGGGGGGGTGGAGTATAAACTAACAGAAGCTCTACAACCCTATTCCCCCCCCCACCCCCACCCCCACCAATCCAGACAAAAAAAACAGAGTGGGGGAGGCCCAGATTGGACATGAACTCCCACTTCCCAGAGCTCCCAATCTATTCCACTGGGGAGGCAGGTCTTTTTTTCCTAGCGGCGAGGGGCGCTTGAGGAGAGGCTTGTACAAAGTGGAGATGAACAAACATCCGCACCTGGACCTGAGCGAATGATTCCTCATGCATTTTGCTAATATTACCGTTTAACTGGCCTGGGGGCCCCAGCTTACACCTAGCGGGGCCTTCTGGGCCTTCCATAAAGCAGACAGTTACCCAGACACCCCATGCTAACCAGTTCGCTGCCCTCCGACCCACCGGTACATCTTTGCACGTCGACGCTCATGCTCGCTAACCCACGGCAAGTCACCGTCTCTTACCTGAGGATGACATAGAGTGGGGACTGGCAGAGACACTGCTGGTTTCCAATTTGTGCGTGTGGAGACGAAGACGCCTTTAGCCAACTGACCCCCACCCCATCGTCACTTAAAGGCTACCTCTTCCTGTTTGATGTTACCCTGTCACTTCCTGTGGACAAAACCCTTCACATTGGTGAGAGATGCAAGACTTTAAAGGACAAAAATACAAAAAGGGGAAGCCAAAAGTAGCCACCCCGCAACTGGTAATAACCTCACTGCCAGTAGCTGTTAGCTGGGGTGGGGGAGGGGGGGGGCAATGAGGCAATCTTAACATCCTTATTTTTAATAAGAGGTATAACGTTCAGCACCCCACGGCCCACCGCCCCGCAACTGGTAATAACCTCACTGCCAGTAGCTGTTAGCTGGGGTGGGGGAGGGTGGGGGGCAATGAGGCAATCTTAACATCCTTATTTTTAATAAGAGGTATAACGTTCAGCACCCCACGGCCCACCGCCACCCCCACCCCAGAGCAGACACTGCCTTGATTGTTTCTGCTTGGGGGGGGGGGTCATAGCCAAAAGGGTCTGCACCTCGACCTTCGACAGGAAATCAGAAGTCAGCCTGATAGGCATCCCCTCAAGAGAAGCATTTAATCCCCCCCCCCCTCGGAAGCCTTGCGGACGCGGCCAAGGTTATTACTGCTAACCAAACCAAGCCAGCATCCGATACGTTATCTTTTTTTCCCCCTCCAAGGGTTTATCAAAAATAAAAACCAATGCTCTATTGAAAGAAAAAAAGCAACCAAAATATTGTCTTTACAGTACAATAAGCACAATCAAAGTAAAGCGACACAGAATTGGCCTTGGCTTTCCCCTTCTGGGGGCGTCAGTGAAGAACGGTGTTTATGAACATTTCTGATGCGACTCTGCGTGAGGCGTGCAGAGAAAGAGCTCGGGGGAATCCCACCTACAGCCTCAGGCCGGCAAGTCCGTATACAGAGGATTTATCATTAAGTGGATGAATACATTTGTTTTTTACGGCACGCAAACTAAAACTAAATTGAAATGGGTGAAAAAAAATCAACTAAAATAAAAGTTTTTCAAACATTTGCAACACAGTGTACATACTTCAGAAAACATTCACCCCCCCAGGGTGGATCTTTGTGGAGGGGAATTTATGAACGAAAGTGCGCCCCCTCCCCCCCACAAGGAGACAGGCTCTCACCCAGGGTGTCCTTCAGGTTCTTCACAATGGAGGCCTTCCTAGCGCTGTTCTTCCTCTCCACGTAGTTTGAGGGCACAAAGCCCGTCTTGTTGGTGGCGTTCCGCACGCGCCACCATGACTTGGAGTCATCCAGAAGCCAGAGGCGCTCGTTCTTCTTGATGTCCAGCTCCTGGTCCTGCTGCGCCACGTAGTCGAACTTAGCGATGACAATCACCTCTTCCGTCATCTTTGGCCGGCCTCAGCTCTGATGGGGGCGGAGGAGACAAAGGCTGTAACGCTGAATGCTACCAGCAAAGCCATTACAGACAGTCAGCAGCCACTTCAGGCCACCCGTAACAGGGGGACAAAAACTTTATTTACATCCATTTAGTAAACGCTTTTATTCAAAAGTGGCATATAATTGAGAAAGTAGGATCAGACAATTCCTGGAGCAACTGGGGGTTAAGGGCCATGCTCAGAGGCCCAATGGTGACATCGCTCTCCCTACCATGGGATTTGAACCGGTAACCTTCTGAGTCCCAATCCACAGAACCGCCCCCTCCACCCAGCTATTTTTTTGTCAGTGCGCAATTCCATATATGGTATTTTATCGTGTCAATGTCTTTATAATTATTGCAAAATAAATAGTATAAATAAATCTCTCATTGGGTAGGTGTGTCCACACTTTTGACTGGCACTGTTTATATGCTAATCACAGATCACAGATTAGGGCATTGGCCTGCAGACCACAAGACATGATAGATGGAAATGCCACATATATGGATGTGTTATTCACTAAGAAGTAATAAGAAAAGAGAAATAATGGTCTGTTGTGGAAATTTACACCAAGGCTTGAGATACTGGGGGGGGGGGGGGGAAGGCCACATAAGGAGGCTCTAAAAGCAACGTCCACCATAACTATGACCGAAACCATCAGCCGATGTAAGAAACCCCTTTCAGGCCGCCAATCAGGGTGACAGCGGGGGAACTCTGTCAGACAAACCGCCAGCTGACCTGCAGGCCTTCAACCCCCAACCACATCCGCCTCCCACCCCCTGTTCAGGGAAAACAAACAAACACCTAACTTCCTGCCGGCAGAAGTGACAAAGACGTAAGGAACCGTGGAAATGCAGCCTGCTGCGGTTTCTACTACGGTGGGGCAGCTATCCCACAATCCACTGCACATTTCGCCGCCAAATACCGGAAATGAAACGTGTTTGAACAGAGGAGGAAAGGAAATTAAAAGTTTTATTTGTTGATGGTCTGGCCCAAGCCAGCAGTACGGCTTAATGAGGCGAAAATGTGGCTGTGATGATGATCGTTTCACACATCCTTCTCCATCACCCCGTTCCATGGACCCTCCCCTGGCCTTCCCCACCCCCACTGAAAATGCATCTACCTCAAATCATGGCCCAGGGCTGTGAAAGTCAGGGGGGGGCATCGTAGGCAGCAACACAGGTGGGGAACTTGCATCAGCGCCCCTGACCTGGGAGCGACCCCTACAGTCAGGGCCAGACTGACTTATCTGGGAGGGGGGGGGGGCGAGGCTAACATCAGCATGGAGACTCAGGTGTCACCAATTTAACTGACCGATCCTTTTTTCCTTGAGGCTGGGTGGAGTGGGGTCCCGGTACACTGGGCTTTGTCCTACGATACTGTTCCCCAACTGGAGGGTAATGGGGCCATTTCCATTGGGTCACAGAGTGTGAGGCATGAATGCTTTGTGCTGTTACTGCAGTACTATAAATTGATAAATTAATTTACTGCAAATAAATTTGGTTCAATTTTTTTTTTTTTTATTTGGGTTGCAGAGGCTGAACCAGTTGAGATTCACTGGTCTAGGTTAGATTAAGATGTGTTTTACTGCCACCAGGGGGGGGTGATTATTCCACCCCTGCAGATGGGTTCCCACAAAACTGCACATTTCAATTCAGAGTTGGGGTGCTCCTGGTGCAGCATGGGGCCCTGGACCTTCTAGCGGAACGCCAGATGATGCGGCGCATTGCCCCGCCCTCCCACTCCCAGCCAGCTGACTCCCCCAGCTCCCATAGTCTGCTAACAGTGTTCATGAGCCAGAATCAGCGCCCTCCTTCAGGAGGGCTCGCTGTAACACCACCCAGGCTGCAGAGGTGGATTCGCACCCAAAGATGCATGCGCAAATTCTCACATGAGCATAAGCCTGTGCATGGTTTTGAGGCTGTAAACATGGCGACGGCCATAGGACAGATACCCAGATACCACCGAATCCTGCGGGAGCGCAAAGGGTTAATCATTCCCAGAGACAAAGAGGACTGAGCAGATGACTCATGTCTACAGAAGCGGAGCGGCCGGCCAAAGCCGTCCCACAATCCTCCTGCTACGCTCTGGCCGTGGGACAAACCCAGGCTACCCCCCACTCCCCCCCCCTCCAGGGACATCAGCACAAAAGAGGCAGCTGCAGCTGCATCACGCCTTTTGCAGTACCGCCCTCTGACAGCTGGGTGGAGCCGCGCTTAAAGAACACTGGCGTCCGACTAGGTGAACCCCTGCTACCACTGGTTTCTCAAGGCAGCATCCAGCTGGAATCAGAACGAGAGCAAAAACAGCCCAACTTGATAAAGTTCTTATGTCTTATATGGACCATGTGAGCATCAATAGCACGGTAGGGTCTTCCACTACAAAAAAACAGCTCCAGTGCTTCAAGTGTACGTTGTCCAGTATGTGCTATATTGATAAGAAACAGAGCACAAGGTGATGTGTGCCTCAGTGGGTTAGAAAACCGTACCCTTGACCAGAAGGTCACCAGTTCAATTGTCAAGTAGAGCAATTTCACCATTGCGCCCTTGAACAAGGCGCACTCTTGACCACTCTTGCGTTCTCAAAAAAATAAAGGCTGGCTGCTAAATAAATTAAAAAGCAAAATGCAGACTTACCTGCGCCTCATCCAAGCCCTCAGCTCCTCCACTCAAGCTGCGTTTAGCCTGGAAGACAAACAAGCAAAGAGCCGCGTGAGAAACTTCAACAGAGCCAGGTAACCAGGCCCACGGTCGAGTCAAAATCCTGCGCCGAGATCGTCGCTCTTCGCCGTGCATCACGGAATTCCCCGAGAAGAGGCTTTGAGGATCGTCTCGCTCGTAACTACAGTCACAAGAGGGTTGTCAACTAAGTGTAAACTTAGGAATTTATCTGACACCAGCAAGATCAAATAATCAAGGAGAAGAATGGGGGGGGAAAAAAACTCCATTGTTTCCAACAACCTGCCCCTCCAACTTCCAACAATTTACTGTCCCCTCCGTCCAGATGTCATCTTTTTATTACTTCACAATAAAGCCCGGCTTCCTTGGCATCCGCGCCGAGCGACGCTCCGCGGCTGCTCAGGAAGATGAAGCAGGAAGCGAGGACGGCGCCGCGGCCGCAGACACACGGCGTGGCCGGGACACAAAAGGAGGACGCGGTCCCCCTTCTCAAAACGGGAGGCCCGAGATCAGGAAGCACAGAGGGGCTGCAGCCCAGTCTGGATCACCCAACCAAAAAGGTGAGCCCCCAGACCTGATTCGCTGCACGAAAATGTGCATCTTCAACTAAACGAGAGCATTAATTTATTAAACCAACTATGCTACATTTTGTTCTCTGTGATAAAATCCTTAGAGTTAAGCTATTGGTTATTTTACTGAAGAGGTTAGCCTGGGGCTAACATGCTGTACGCATCTGTCATCCGCAAGGTTCTGTCCACATGCAGCCATGATCACAAGTGCGTGAGCGTGACCTGGGAGATCCAGCCAGCAGCTGTGCGCTCACTGTCCACACCCACCTCACTCTGGGCAGGACCTCAGCATCACAAAATTCCTCTGGCAGGTCCACCCCGCCTGCCCCACCCACACCGCTGATCGAATTAAAGAGCGCTAGGGGGCGAAGCTGGCGACTGGCAGGAAACAAAGGGGTGATTTATGTGTCGAGGACGCACCCCCCCCCCCCTTCCTCCCTACGACAAAGCGCACACGCAGAGCCTGGAGCGCACCCCACGGACAGTACAGCGCCACCTCCCTGGTGCGACCCAGTTCCCCGAGTGGATCCGAGAGCAGCCCGGCGAACCCCCCCCCCCCCACTGCTTTGTTGCGCTTCTTTTGAGGGATCATAAACGTTGCATAAATAGCTGGTCCGCTGACTGGGATACGGCGCAGCGAATGCGCTGTTGCGGCCGGTGCCAAGGCTGCGAGGCAGCTGCGCTCTGAATGGCCACGACGGAGACCCACTAGGCAGCACGAACGCGGAGGCAGGAGTGGACGTCCCACATCGGAAGGATGCAAAAAAATTCATCCATCTTGCTGCCCGGGTTTTCAGCACAGCCCCTCTCCTGGCATCTGGGGGCCGCTGCCACATGCCAGTGGGGCAGGCCCATCTTGTTAAAAAGCCTTTAAAGACTTCCGAATGAAACGGCTTCTTGCCAGCTGAAAGGTGCCTCCTTAGGGTCTCGAAACAACGCAACACCGGGTTTTTTGTCTTAAAGGAACAGGACTGAAAGCCTGCGGCTCTCCCAGCCCGGTGTGGGATCATTTCCATCTGATTTAAAACACCTGGGTCTAAAAAGAGACCTAAGAAGAGCCCAGCAGCAGCTGCTCAGAGCAAAGACTGTGTCTGGTTAAATCAATCCATTCATCCATCAGCAGGTTTGTCGTTTCTAGGGCCTCACACAAAAAGTCACTTTGCCCCTCCAGCAGTAACTGTTTCAGGCCAACAGGGGGCCCACAAACCGAAGGCCCCCCCCACAAACATGCATGGTTTGATCGGTGGTAATCATGTCCACTGTGCACACATACATTAGCTTTCAGCTTAAACCTAAAAATAACGGCTGCTCTGTTTGTGCTCCTTAAGTGTGTCAAGCAAACGTGCAGGAAACACCTGAACGCGGGTGGGGGTGACCTCACCCACCGCCGGGTTGGGACAGCTGTCAGGTTGCACACGGGGAGCAACCCCATAACCCCAAGTAGGGAGGAAGGCTGGCCCGAACACGACGGGGCACCATGGCGGCACAGACGTCACAAGACATCTCGTGTGCGCCACATCCGGCAGAATCTAAATGAGAACCATTTACGACAAAGCAAACAAAAAAAAAAAAAAAACAAAACAAACGAACAAACAAAAAATTACTCCCACGTTCTGCTGATTCAGAGGCAAAATCCTGCTGCATCTGCTTAAGGTTCGTCCTTTTCTAATAATTACCTAAGAACTCTGACATATTTCTGTAAACCTGAAGAAAACCATAAAAGATTTTTTTTCCCTTGAGCCTAAATGTTATCAGAAACCATTAAACTACTTTGCCAGTCTCCCTCGAACGGCGATTCAGAATGAAAGCAACAGGAGCAGCCCACAGCTAGATGAATGATCATTGTTCAGCGCTCATTACACATCTCTCAACTGCTACCACACAGCCAGAAACAGCCTTTGCTCTACAAGAGGGGAATGAAAAAAACTCAGCCAAAAATAAAACGGATAAAAGACAGCGGCGACGGAGCACTCGATTCTCAGAGCGGCTCTGAAATTCGGGCCTGAGCCACAGATGGGGGACAGAAGGCCAGTCTGACGACTGCTGGCCGCGAGGACATCTTGAGGAAAGCTGTGGAAATGCATCTTGACATCCAGAAAGACCCCTTTAAGGAATCTGGTCTTTACAAGACGAAAAGCATAAAACTCATAGCAGCATATTTAGAGCACAAACTAAACAAAACAAAAAACAAACGGAAAAAAAAAACACACAAAGTGTGCTCATATCAGGCCATTAGTGTGATGCCATATTGGCCCACGTCCTCACCTTGACCTTAAGATTTCTACTTCACTATGGTTAGTTAACCAGGCATCTGGCCCCCGCCCCCCCAGCGAAAAAAGTCAACACCTCACAGCAAGCTCCCTTTTATATACCCTCAACACAAGCGTCAAGATGCAATGAACAAGCGAAAAAGGGAAAGGAAGATGACAAAAAACAAAACCACCAAACTCATGTGGTTTCCTAAGCGTTGCAGCCTCTCTCAGAACAATGCACGCGCAACGCTGCCTGTCTAATGCACCGGCACATTTTTCCACTGTGCATGGCGTACTGAGGGGAGGAAGGCTCATTTTTCAGAACATGCTGAGGTAGTCGCTCACCACATCCTGCTCCGCCGCGGACACTGAGGGGTGAGAGGTGTGCCTTCCAAACCCACTGCCACCGTTCACCGTTCAGGCTACCAGCTAAATTAACTTGCTTTCCCCCCCCCCAGTCACCTCTCCCCCATCTGAGGTAAAGAAAAAAAAAAAAAACTGATGCTGATATCCAGAGTAATATAGCTGATGGTGCTGAATGTCAAACAAAGCAAACAACACTTCTTAAAGCTAGTCATTTATGGTACCAGTCCAAAAAGTTTTTGCATACACAGATTTTCTACATTTGCATGTTACTCACTAAACATGTACTAAAAATACACTCAATATTCTTAGCTAAATTAATAAATTTAGAGTATGTTCACCATTCAAGTAACTATTACCAAGAAAATGTCATATCTTTGATTCTATTAACGAAACCGCCTCTAGTAGTTAACAGCAAAAAAAAATTCAAGGCATTCTACAAGGGACATTAAATATTGCTTTTTTTCGTGTGTTGAAACAGGTAACTAGTTCATTTAAAGTTAAAAGGACAGCCAAGAATGGATACGCCATCACCACACAACCAGGATGTCAGACATACATACTCTTTCCATGTTATAAAGGAAACTTTATTTGACTTATATTTTCATTTATAGTTGTTCACTCAACTTTCCAAAGCTTAACAAGAAGAAAAAATCTGCAGTTTTTGAAATAAGTGATAAAAACTTGGCGTGCAGAAACTTTTGTCTGGTAGCGTATGTCTTATTTTACTCCAAAGTGACAGATTTTTTAGGGCTTGTCCCCAGAGTAATTGGGGGTTAAGGTCCTTGCTCAAGGGACTGGGGGAGGTGACATGGCTCTGCCAATCGTGGGATTAGAACCGGCGACCTCCCGGTTACAGGTTTTCACATGGTGAAATTCTTGTGCCACAGCTGCAGGTTGAGGTATATCCACTCTGAAACACAGGGTCTGATCCCAAAGTCCTACTGCTCCGCATTAAAGCTCCACGCATTAAGCATCATAACAGGGACCGGCCCGGCAGAATCCACAAGACGCGGAGATCTTTCCCCAGGTCAAACGTTCGGCAACTTCAAGGAAAGACAACGCTGCATGACGGAGGATGTGAAACACATTCACCATGAAATAAGTGCAGCTTCCTTTTATCGGGTAAAACTTCCCCAAATAAAATGTGACTTCAGACAGACGGTAGAGAATAAAGTAGACCATGCTTATGAAATACAGGTCAACAAGTTTCTATACAATAAAAAGATACATTAATATTCTCCCCATGACCGTGACCAAGATAAACGACGTATATAACCCCCGATTACTGTATATTTTATAATGAACTAAAAGTAATAACAACATAGGTCAAGGGGTTTTTTAAATAAAGAAGGAAAATCACATGGAAGACATTTGGAGAACTGGGGGCTCAAATTTTCCAAAACACTTGGCAAACAGAAACTCAGATCCAGCTTACCACAAAAGGTCAGGGGGAGTCACGACAGCAAACACCCCCTCCTCCATTACCTTTTTTGACTACCAGGCTATGCAGTCACCGGCTCGATCTGTGTGAACCCGGGACACGGCCCTCCCCAGAGGAATTCCCTCCTCCTCCGTTAATCCCCCTCCTCGCTTCTCACGTGGAGGAAGAAGCCCGAGGCCTCGCCGGGGTCGCAGTAGCATGGGGTCATGGGATAGATCGGCGTCCAGCAGCGGCAGGGAAGTGGAGGAGGAGAATGAAGGAGGGAAAAAAAAGAAAAAAGAAGAAGGCCTTCCAGCCCACATTCTTTCCACGGCGACCATTTCGAAGGCACAGATGACACTTATTAGATGAACGATTCCAGGAAAAACATCTAAATGT